CCCGTTACTTCTCCAGGATAGCTGTCAATGTTGCCCTGTCATCAGCCAATGGAAGTACGATTCAGGATACAGAATTTTATGGCATTTGTTAATTTTCCCTTTCCAACTAAGCAGTGCAATTTTCACTGACGAGCAGAACTAAAATCTCTGTCAGATTTAGTCAATGTGCTCCAGATATTGGCTGGGAGCTGCCCTCAGACCATTTGGCTAAAGTTTGTTCTTCAGTAGACACAATTTTCTGACCAAATTACATCAGTTCTTCTGGGGTGGGATAGAAAATTGATGGGAAACTGTACTGCTGGATTGTTGCCCATTTTTGTACCAATCTTCCGCCAGACACCGGAAGAACACAATTAGATGCGAGCAGATGTGTTCATGTCAAGAGTGATATCAGATGTTACATTTTCCACATTACCACTTAAACAATGCTGGTCAATAGTCATGTAACCTTTTCCTCGAATCCAGTGGTAGAGGGAGATTTTAATTTTAGTCGGGTGCTTCTAGAGTGACAGATGGTGTTAAACTTCAATTGCCTCATTCTGGAAAACATAATGAAATGTGATTTGCTCAAAAGTGCTATCTCTCGCCATCAAGAATTGCACAGAGGTAAAGAGAGCTCATATCTATCTAGATAATGACTGGCCATTTTTTTGGTGGTATAATTGCCAGAATTCTACACCAGCCATGAATTAATGTGTTGATACAAATACTATCCCATCAGTCCTTGACCCTACTATTACTACCATACGAAGTATTATGCCAACTATTAGTTAGCAGGGTTCAGAGTCTGCCAACCTCAAAGCCTTATTTTTTTCTAGTTAGAATTGTCTTTATATGATCATAGTATAGACAACAATACTATGCACTGGGAGGTTCGGTTCACATCAAGACTAACTAGAATAAAAGCAAAATACCGTGGATGCTGGAAACTTGGAAAAAAAACACTGAAGATGTTGGAAAAAGTCAGCAGGTCTAGCAGTATCTGTGAAGAGAGAAATAGATTTAATGTTTTGGATCTGGTATGATCAGTTCTGACAAAAAGTCATACCAAGATGGACTAGAACAGAGACAATAACCCAGCAGGTCTGGCAGCATCTGTGAAGGGAAAAACAGAGTTAACGTTTCGGGTCCGGTGAAGGGTCACTGGACCCAAAACTTTAACCCAGTTTTTTTTTCCTTCACAGATGCTGCCCAGACCTGTTGAGCTTTTCCAGCAACTTTGTTTTTGTTCCTGATTTACAGCATCCGCAGTAATTTCGATTTTTAGAGACTATAACCCTTCAACCTTTACATTTACAGTTGTCCGCCAACTTGATTTAATTCACTTGAATTTCCCAGTTAAGCATTTTTTTTTATTCCTGTCCAGAATAAAAATATTGCTTGCCAGTTTGGTGCCAAGCTCCCAATTCACAATCCAGTTCACTGTTAGAACAGTATAGAGAAAAGAAAAATGCATGGTAAGTGGAAACCCAGCAGTTTTCATGGATATAAAAACTGACCTGGCCCAGGTTAAATGCAGTGCAAAACTGGTAGAATCATTTAATTCGTGGGGAAAGAATGTAAAAGTATCCCACTGTGAAAAAAAATGCATTAAGATTCCTGAGCTGAATAAACTGATCAGTCCAAATTTCAAACAATCAAACATATTTAACACTTAGAACGACATTGAGAAGGAAAGCCAAGATAAAACAAAGAGTTCAGGAAAACAATGGAAACGGTGATTAGAAAGACTAGAGGAGAGTACAAGAAAAATAACTAGCCAGAAACAGAGAGAATGAAAGACAACAAAAAGCCTTCTTTCTTCCTTTATGATAAATCACATGTCTTCAATAACCTCCGGTAGGTAAATCATCATAATTTTACACGAAATTTTAGCAAACTGTGATACAATTAAGGATAGACTCATTTAGATATTATTGTATATTCTGTGTGCAGTAGAAATGTTTTGAGCGTGGTCTTCATGCATATTTCATGAAGAAGCTACATGTCCTGACTGTAAAGTGACTGTGAGTAAAATTGTATTGCTACCTGAACTTCTTTGCACTGAAAGCAGTATCTCTTACATCCACAAATAATTGTGGTTTGTCAAGTATTGTCATCCCTTTCGAAACCCATGCTGGGTCTGAACATGTAGTGATTTCATGGTGAATAACAGACTCCAAATCCTCATTGTGACAGGTTAAGATAACTTCTGCAATTACCTAGATTAGCTCAGTCCATTTTTCAGCTATTCAGTCGTGGGATGTGGGTATCTCTGGCTGGACAGTATTTGTTTCCTGTCCGTAGTTCCCCTTGAGAAAGTGGTGGTGATGAGCTGCCTACTTGAACCACTGCAGTCCACATGCTGTAGCTGGAGCCCCAATGCCCTTAGAGAGGGAATTCCAACATTTTGACCCAGCCACACTCAAGGAATAGCAATATATTTCCAAGTCAAGACGATGTGTGGCCTGGTGGGGAACTTGAATTTGGTAGTGTCTCTCCACCAATTTAAAGAAAGTTGTTACATTGGTCAAGCTCCAGTTCCTAGTATTCTATCACAGATCTCTGAAATATAATTTTTAGACACATGAATTTCTTTTTTCTAATTTTCCCACAGAACTGACAGTCTGTTTCTTTGGATCCTGATGCTTTGTCAACCTTTGTCTCAATTAAATTAACCGTTTCTTTTCCATTTGTCCATTATAATATCATTCATCACATGCTCAATCACTTATGATTTCCCTCCACATTGATACCCTTCTCTTCAGTAAAGACTCATAGAAAGTAGTTGTTAGGTATACCAACATTTTTTCAGCAATTAGAAATCAACATTTTCCTCTCGTGAGTCCCACCTGACTGTTAATAAATGTAATTTCACTGATGTGTTAGTGGGAAAAGAAACTTACCCAGCCTTTTATTTTTTTTCCTCACATTGTCCCTTTGTTTTTTTTAAATCCTGTTTTTAACCATTTATTGTAGCATATTTCTTTTTGGTTTTGCCAACATTATTGCTAGACGTCAGACTCTACTCTTGACTGAAAATTGGTTCCTATCTGTGGTATCCTCAAATTATTGGGAGTTTCCTTTCTTTCTAATGAAATATATTTAGTTTGTATCTTTATAAGTGCCTTTACAGCTCTGGGTCAATCTCCCCTTCCACCTCATCTCAGCCAGCTCTTTCCTCAGCTTCTTACTCTACTACTCCAATCTGATATTTCAGTATTTTTTTTAAACTGAGACATCTCCTTTTAGAAGATGATGAATTTGTAGGATGTTAAGGAAAAAGCCAGGACATAGAACTAAGTTGGATAAGTCTTTCAAAGAGCCGGAACATGCATAACATATGGAACGGTGTCTTCTCTGCTGTAAAATTCTAGATCTTATATCAGATCTAGTTGGACTGTCGGGTCAGTGGGTCCCAATTTTATACACGCATTTAGAACATACTACTGATTTATTTCATTACTCATAACCATGTCAACACCTCCATACCTTAGGCAAACTGCTTGAGAAAGAAGAACATTTTGGAAATATCATACTCCCTTTTTACCATTTATTCTATACATGTCTCAATCAATAATTAAAATCTCTTAAAAAAATAATTTTGTTGTTTGACTGCAAATTTTCACTGAAAAGAAATTAGAGGTTTGAGGAATATTGATAACAATACAACAAACCTTTATTTATTTAACTTCAATTACGTTGACTCCGAAACCCTTCTTAGACATCATGGACTATCTCATATCCTCACATTACCTGTATTGTCAATCTACCTCCCCTACCCTCCAACGCATATTATAATCCATGTATTGATTTTACATTCATGCTTTGTCTACAGCCTTCTTGCAACCAGTCCTTTAATTTTCACCCTTTATTTTGGTATTGAATTCTCTCTTTCCCAATGTTGGTAATATTCCCAAAATATAATTTTGTATCCATCATTTGAGTTTTGATGCAATCTGCATAAATATGCCCTTTAAAGTTCCTAAGTCATTTCTCCCCATATTATTCACACTTATGTGGATTACCAGCACTAGATCTGGACCTGATTTCTTCAGGTTCTTTCCTCAATATGTAGTGATCTAGCTCCAGGTTGATAGCATGACATTCTGAGAATTATGTTTTTCCAGCACATGTGGAAAGCTATGCCTCTTATTGTCCAGTAATTTTAATTTATTAATATTTTCTTATAACCTCCAGCTGTAACCATCTATTATGCATGCAACTTGCAATCTAAACAGTATAATATTGGAACATCTTTTAATATGCCAACAAAACTGTCCACAAAATTTTCACGGCACAGTTTTATATCAGATATTGTTGCACTCATTTTATTTATATTTCAACCTTTGTTTTTGTAGAATAAAATGACATATAATTCTTTTGTTAATTGGTTGTAGATCACTTTATCCCAGGTAATGCTTTGAATTTATGCCCAGGCACATTATTTTGAGGACTATCAATATTATCTACCAATATCTTTCAATGGCAGCAAGCAAGGTAGCACTCATTAGGTAGATTATGGAAGTTGCCCTGTACTGTGTTAGAAGGTGTGGAGCAAAGCTACCTCTCCATTCAGAATCTTGGTCTCTTCACTAAAACATCAGTATTTCACCAGTAATTGGTAAAAAATGAATCTCAGAATGAGGTAAAGTAGATGTAACAACTTGAATTCAGAAGTTGTAGGCATTAGAGAAGGTACTTCTTTACAATGTTCCATGATAATGTGCAATTAGATCCATTAGCAATGCTAAATTATAATTCCTCAGGCACTTCTGAAAAGACGTTTTTGTGCCAATGATCATCAAATCTGTGGAATTTAAGTACCTATTGCACATTACACCAAAGATTAAAGAGGATTGATGTGTTTATGCTCAATGCTAGTAACAAAATGTCTTTTTAAAAAAAAAGACCGATAAGAAACAATACTTCAGAATTGCTTTCTTTCTTATTTTCTGTTAATAATGAGCATGCACATTACTGAGCAACAATTAAATTAGATTCTGTCTTCTCATTTATAGGTCCTCCGGGAAAGCGAGGTAGAAGAGGTAGGAATGGAGAACCCGGTAAGTATTGACTGACTTCAAAATGTTGTTTTTCTCCACATCAGTCTATAAGTCATTAAAGTACAAAGTTAGTCATAGCAAGATGTTTCAGATTAAGTCCATTATTCCTAGCCAGGCTTATACTTTATTGATCATAAATATTAGGTTTATTCTGTAGTGATGTGAAAGCGGCATCCCAGCATGAGTTGGAGTACTGGAATTGTGTTTTCTCTGCACCAATATGGAATTGTTAATGCATTGAGGAAGACAGCTGTAATCCTTGGCATTAAACTTCTGCTTTTTCTATATAGAGTGCTGCACATTTACGGCAGACTAAGCTAATGAGGGAGAAAAGGTCTTAACAAAACCCACCTGTGAATTTTTCAAGTGTTCAAAGCAAGAGGTGAAGAGTTTCAAAATGTGTTTATTAGATAAATGGATATTAAAATCTAAAAGAGGGCCAGGTGTGATAATACTGGAAGACAAATATTACAACAAGTATCCAGTTGAGGTAGCCTTGATTTTTTAATGTTTTTCATGAATTGATGGAACAAAAAATCATTAGGAAGCTTTCCAACTTTTTAAATCATTTTAACATCTGCACTCAAAGAATTTTTTGTCCCGGTTTTGTCAAAATGTTAATTAGGAGGTCACTTGTTTCTTATATGAGGTATTGAAATTTTCTTTGTCTAAATCATGTTCTCTTGAAAGCTTTGATTATTCCAAATATCTGAAAGTCTTGTTTTAGTCCGTTTCTTCCCACATTGCTGCATGGTGCTAAAATTTCTTAAATTGCTAACCAAGTAGGCAACATGGTCGAGGGTCAAGAGGAGAGTATCATGACACGCATAGAATAAAGTGAAACATAGAAAAGAAGCCAATTTAAGAGAAACTAAACAGGCCAGCTCTGACCATCTTGGAGATTCACAGATCGAAACAAATTTTACACCAGGCATTTTGGAAAGTGCATTGGTAAATCACGCCTTATTCTGTTAATATTTTCTACACATGTGTCTAGTTCACAGCTGGTTTACCAAACTTGGTGACATATATTATGGACAAGGATTTCCCAGGTGCTTGATAAGCATCAATGACTCATTATTTCAGGTGACTTCTGATTGATTGATAGCTTTTCATTGCTGCTGGCAAAATCACATTCTCACAAATCACACACTTCAGCTGCATATTTCCACAATTTGATTAAAAGTTGATTGACATTAATATAAAGCTGACTTTCCTGACAATTTCTTCCATAAATACTGAAGCATAATTTAAAAAAAAATTCTGATTTACCTTACCTGCTGAACTCTCTGTTCCACAGCTACCTTTCTTCTACCAGACAGCTTATGTAGCTTTTATTCATTCATGGGATGTAGGCATCACTGGCTGGACCAGTATTATTGCCCATAACCATGTTTCATCAAAGTGTGAGTAAAACATACACTTTCTAATTGATCATCAGGAAACAGTGTCTTATTCATTTCATGCCAAAAACTCCGTCCTCTTGCACTATCTCCGTTTGTACACCTCATTGATAACTCAAAATGTTATTGAAATAACTCATAGGCTAAAGCTGCACCTGAGCCACATCTCATATTCATTTCTCAAACAGCATCCCTGAGTCTTCTAGCCAGGATCTTGCCACCACACGGTTCAACTTCACGAAACATCTGTTCCAAATTACATGACTCTTGACCCAGTCCCACTTTTAAAAAAAAAATTAGCACTAAAATGAACATTCTTGTCCTGGTTGTCAAGTTATAGAGCCATAGAGATGTACAGCACAGAAACAGTCCCTTCGGTCCAACCTGTCCATGCCGACCAGATATCCTGAACTAATCTAGTCCCATTTGCCAGCATTTGGCTCATATCTGTCTAAACCCTTCCTATTCATGTACCCATCCAGATGCCATTTCCCTTCAGAGGACTTCATGCCAGCTGAACTTTTCACTTCTTCCAGTTGTACATCTCATCTCATGCCATATAGTCATCTTATCTGCCATATTGAGGGCTGGTAAGCTCAGTTGGCTGGACAGCTGGTTTGCAATACACAATATACACCAACAGCATGGGTTCAATTCCAGTACTGGCCGGGCCAACATGAAGGTCCTGCCTTTACAACCTCTCTCTTTGCCTGAGGCATGGTGGCTCTCAGATTAAACTTACCACCAACTGTCTGTCTCTGATGAAAGAATGGTTCTCTGGAGCTATATCAACTGTACTTTTAAGGCTCTGTTAGCTCAGCTGGCAGGACAGTTTGTCATGCAGAGCATTACCAACAGTGTGGGTTCAATGCCCACATTGGCTGAGGTCACAATGAAGGTCCTGTCTTCTCAACCTCACCCCTCACCTGAGGCATTGTGACTCTCAGGTTAAACCACCACCAGCCATCTCTCTCTCTCTCTCTCTCTCTCTCTGTCTCTCTCTACTGAGAGGGCAGCCTATAGGACTGCATCTTATATACCCACTGCCTTACTGCTGTCAAGTGTATCTCAGTTGATGACAGAGAATTCTGAAATTTGACGCTACCATTTGAAACTCTCCCTCCAACTGTCTATCCATTCCTGCCTTCTAAAAAAAACTTCCTTAAAATGCAGCAAACGTTTTATTAACCAGCATCGATTGGACAGGAGTGTACTGATTGATTAAATATTTCAATTTATGAAAAGGTCTGCAATGAAAATCAATGTAAAAACACACAGTAAGTAATAGAAACGTAATGCTGGGGAGGCATATACGCATCACTGTTATACTTTATTTCCAGCATAAATCACTTAAGTAATAACTTGAATAAAACGTATCAGCAGACAGCCTTATCATGCACACCCTTGACTGACTACTTAGACATTGCAATAATGCAGTAAACTTTCAACATTTCAGGTATATACTTGTTGCCAACATACTTGGAGTGACGGTTCGTTAGGTACCAGTTAAAACAAAGTTTGCTGTACGCAATTTTGACCGTGCTTTTGCTGAACTAATTCTTTACTGTTTCTACTGGTTCTGGGAGAACTGCATTCCACCTTATGTACTGTCCCTCGCCCCATCCACCACCCTCCATACCCCTGCGGTTATGGATATTTCTTGGACCAGGGCAGAAATTTTTTGTTAAATCTCATTAGGTCTTGTCTATAGGATGAGTTGTGAGCAAATTTCGGATAAATTTTTTGCAAGGTCACAAATCGAGCGTGCGTCCAGAATTCTGACACACTTGGCTAACGAAGCCAAAGTCAGTGCTAAGATAAAGATTGACCCCTATAAAGTTAGAAAAACATTGCAAGCATGTTCAACAGAAATAGCATACAGTGCTTGATTCTTGAATGAAGGATACCTCCTGCTCAGCTTGTATTCTGAAATAACTCAAACTATTTAGTTTCCTGCACAGAAATATGACAAGCTAAAAGAGCTGATGATTACAGGCCAATGTTTCCAAATTGAAGAGCAAAGAAAGTAAAACAGGACATTGACAAATAAAATTATTGAAGCACATTTAATGTGACACCTCATCCTCTCCACAACAAGTCCATTATTACTCTCCCACAGTTTTATTAAAATAATAATGTGGGTCTCTTGCCTTATAATTAATTCCTTGAATGTTGCTTTCTTCCTTTAAAGTCAGCTGTTCATTATAAAATCTTTGAATGTGTGAGCAAAAATAATTAAATTCTTATCAGAACAAAGCAGGTATGAAGCCCAAAGCAAACTTTTCATATTAAAGTAAATCTAAATTCTTAATATTCTTAGTCAACAATATATTTTAATTGATGAAACTTAAGTAAAAATGCAAATAGTAAGCACAACTAGGGACATAACAACAAATTGAAAGGAACTTAAAATTAACAGATTGCCTTGGCCAGAGGATTTATATTCTAGGTTGCTGAAAGCCTCTAGGAAGCAAATGTAAGAAATCATTTGCCACTGATGATTTTTTTTCATCATTGGAAATAGACAAATGTTGGACCTAGGTCTTAAAAGGAGCAAGTGTTCTAATCCAGGCAACAGGAGCTTATTCACCAGACGTTGATAATGAGTGAAATGACGAAATCTAATTATAAGGCCGAAGGATTACGTATGACAACCACATAAGAAACAGAAAGAGAAGACCCAGAAAAGTTATTTGACTTCTTCAAGGATATTACAGATAAAGTAAATGGATCCCTATAATTTATTTGGATGTTAGAAGTTATGCAACAGTGTTCCACATGACTGCCATTTAATTAAACTAAGAGTCTCTAACGTAGATAAGAACAGAGGATTGGATTAGGAACTGGCCAAAAGGTAGGAAGGAAAGAGTAGCTGTAAGATGTGTCAGCGTTACAGATATTGAGCAGCAGATGTTCTCTTGCAAAAGCTTGGTGGAACCATGAGAAAAGATAGCTGTTTTGCAGAACTTTATGCCATTTCTCTGTTGCGTCCTCTGTCAAGTCATAGTCATAAATCATAGAGTCATACAACATGGAAACAGACCCTTCGGTCCTACGAGTCCATGCTGACCATACTCCCAAACTAAGCTAGTCCCACCTGCCTGCACTTGGCACATATCCCCCCAGCAGCCTAGCAGAGAACTACCAAGGATTATCATATGCAACATTGTTATATGCAACATTTGATTAAGGTGTCCAGATCCATGATCTGGATACCTTAATCAAATGTAACCATGTGAAGTTTGTTGGTTACATTGGAATAGGAAGAGAAGCTCAGGTAGAGGTTGTAGCCAAAGATGCGCTGAAAGAATTGGGCCAGAAATGATTTTGGAATCACTTCCAGTTCACCACCAGAACTTCGCAGAAATTTGACAGAAACCCCATTTTTGCTGTGTAAATGGGATTTTTGCTGCGCTGTCAGTAAGGTTAAGATGGCTAAATATGTGCAAATTCAAGAAAGTTCCTGTCCTTGGTTTAGATATGTAAATATAAGCAGACAATATAACAAAATGAAACAATACGCAAATTTGGCATCAATATCTGAACAAAACAGAATCTATCTGTGGGAAGATAAGGATTCTAGGCCCAAGACCAGCC